TACCTCAACATTTTAATATAGTCTGCAATATTTTAGAAAATGAGGTCATCATTTAAAAGACTAATGTAGAAAACATGTTTCATTCTGAAGTAGTTTATATAAAGTTAAACTACTATTATTAAATTCCATTATCAAAAATATTCATTAACAAAAATAAGAAAAAATCATCTATTCCTTGATGTTAAGAAAATTTATTCACTAAAAAAATTAAGACTGTTTTCTAGCTTTACTGAGATGTAACTGATGTATAACATGTACATTTAAGATGTACAACAATTCGATATATGTATATATTGCAAAATAAGACTACTTTAGATTCTGTAACACATCAGATGCATAAATTCCTTGATGCTCCCCCCACTACAGAGATTGCAAATCACCCCACACCCCTCCCTCAACCACGTTTTATTTATGCTTTTATTCTGACAGCGCATTCAGTATAATATGTAATAGCCTACATTCTTTCTATAATAGTGTAATAATTTCTGGATATAAAAATTCCCAAACTCTGTTAAACAATTAGTAGTTTGATGGAATGTAAATTTACTTTTATTTAGAATTTTCTTCCATTTCTAAATATGTGGGTTAACAACTGTTAATGTTAAGAATATTAATATTTAGCTCATCACCCAGAATCTTCTACCACTAGGTCGTCCCTGTCAATAATCAATTATGTCCCTGTCAATAATCAATTACTCTATTTCTGCTTAAGATTATTAATGAAACTGTGTGTCAGAATGTTAATATATTCTAGAAAGAGCAATAAGAAACATTAAAACTTTCTACCTCTTCTTAAAGGGTATTCTCTCTGAAACACAGCACATCACAAACACTAGAAACTGGGCTACCTGCCGGTGGTCCTCCTCCATGGGGAAAAGAGCTTAAGGCACCTATTGCACTGTAGCTAAGAACAACTGCTTCACAGCCACCTAAAGATCTGCTGTAAAAACTAGGTTTTGCTGGGCCCTATCAAGATAGGTAGACTACAAGGCAGAGGCCAGGAATCTGTATTTTTAACAAACTTCCAAGTGATTTTACTGCACATTACGTCTGAGATATACACATAACTAACTCATCACAACACCCTACTTATATGGGTAGCCATATAAGGAGACAAAGATTTGGAAATTTTCCAGATTACTTTAAAATCCATAATCAAAATTTCTACAGTAAAAAAAAGTTCAATTATTTCATTGTGGTTGCATAAAAAGATTCTTCTTCCTGGTTCTGGAATGACAGGTGCCTATGAGAAGGTACCTGTCATTACTGAAAAACTATGTTATCAGTGTTAACCTCAAGTGATCTTTAAGAAAATTTCCCTTTATGCCTTATAAATGATGTCATCAATAAAATGTTATTATGGTTAGAGTAGGGAATAAGTCCAATCAGTTCTAATTTTTTATCAGAGTTAACAGCCAAACAGCAAAAAGCTTAGCACTATCTTCTTCTAATAACATTAAATTCAATGACACTTTCCTTGATTCTGCAGAATGGTGGTCTTAAATTGACAATCGCTAAAATATCTTTTTATGATTATCTTAAGAATATAACGTAGATATTAATGTGTATTGTTTTGTACAATAACTTTTATTAAGATGAGAATGTTTTCCCAATCAGTTTGGTAGTGACTGGATAAATTAACTTTGAATATTTAAATTTATAAAATGCTATTTTATGGTTTTGTTAATTATTGTTCCCTGGGAAGTAATATAGCCAATTAAAAACAAATTCTCTCAAATAAGGAAGTCCAGAATGTGAATCCAGCAGCACCACTTACTAGCTGTGTGACCTTGGGCAAGTTACTTAACTTCTCTAAGCCTCTATTCTTTATTGGGAGGATTAAATAATATATGTGAAGCACTCAGCACAGCACCTGGTACCTGTTAGACCTCAATAAACGTTAGCTCATATAAACATATTTACAAAAAATCTCTGAAAAAACACAAAAAATTAACTATGATGGTTGCTTCCAAGAAAAGAACTTTGGGTCAGGGTAAAAGACAATACCTTCTTGTAGTTTTTGTATTTTTATCCAGTGCTTATAATAACTTTTCAAAAAATAAAAATGTTTAACATTATTCCTTGTGCTGTGGGATTTTTTAGTGTTTAGCATAATGCACTGCAAAAGCTGAATTGTCACTGCTGAATTCGCAAAGGAGTAAGTCATAGTCTAATAATATCCATAATGATATATATACAACCTATCTGATTTCATGAATCTGTTAAGTGTTCTTACTTGCTTCACAATAGCCTAATTGTCTTAACGAAAACACTTTAAACCAGTTATCTTTCAACCTGGGATAATTTTGTCCCTCATGGGACCTTTGGCAACCAAGACATTTTTGGCTGTCACAACTAAAAGGGTGTACTACTGGCATCTGGTGGGCAGAGGCCAAGAATGCTGCTAAACATTCTATAATGCACAGTATAGGCCTGCACAAAAATAATCCACCCAAAATGTCAGTAGTGCTGAGGTGAGAAACTGCAACCCAAGAAACCATTCTGTTCAACTCTGAAATTAACCAGGTTCTTCATTACAGTTATCAACAAAACAAAACACACACACAATAAATTGTCCCTTCAGGTAATGAAGTAAAATCCTTAAGGACAAGCAGACCAAGGGCTCAATAAATGTAACCATTTTTGGCCTCTGTTGTTGTAAATTTCTGAAATTCTAGCAACTACAATGGCTTACAGGTTCGTGTGTCTACTAAATTCAATACATCTTAAGATTTTTAAAGCATTTATTATAAAGCCTTCCAAATGTTCACTCTAAATGATTTCAAGAGATTACAGATTACCATTCTTTCCTGTTTTCAAATGATATTTGAAGAACCACAAAACGCAAACAATATACTGCTAAAATACAACAGGGCCTTTATTTTAGTATGTAGATATCAAGTCTTTCCAATAAACCTGATATTTTTACATTTCACTTAATGCATTGCCTTGGCCTACTATTCTGTACATGTTGAGTATGTTCATTAAAATCCCTCAAAAATTTAAGAAAATATTAAGAACAGTCTGTTCTTGATTAAGAAAGCAAGAAAAGCAGCTAAATCTCTTTATGAGGCTTGAAAAACCACAAACAAAATCTTCCTCCTCTCCAACCTTAAAGCATATTTTAATGTGCCTTATCAAAAAGTCAACCATTAAGAGCTTTGGGAAATGTTTTATCAATATTTGGGATTAATAATGTCAGAAAGAAAGAATGCAGAATTGTACCAAGTGGCTGTAAAATCTATTGCTGGTTCTCAAACGAGTAAGAAATATACTTCAAATATTGCTACTGCTAACACGGTTATTAGTCATACTTTACTTTCTTAGTAACTGCGGAACTTTAACATCTTTTAAAATGTGTATTTTTCCCATTACGTAAGAGTTGAGTACTGTTTTAATACTAATTTAGTGTTTTAATATTAAAATATAATATTAATCGTTCACCACATGAAAACTTATTCTGATTACAAAATTCTTAGGGAGACAAAAGAACATCTGAATTCCTCCAAAACAAAACAAATCAAAAAATTATACAGACATGTAAGGTGTGTTTGCAAATATAAGATGCAACAAGATTATACTTTCACTGCTTTTCCAATACATTTTTGGTGAACATAGGTATCACTAGAACTCCATTCACTTCAAGTCGTTCCCTCTGAGCATCTAGAACTTTTAATACGTGTCCAAACCTGCTTGCTCATGGTCTAATAATAAACCTAATTATACAATCTGTAGCAGCCCCTGACAACCTTTTCCTTAAGAAGCCATAAAGGCGATTTAACTAACACCTCAAACTATCAGTAAATCGAAATCAAAAACAGATTTGTTCATTCCAGCCTTTGGCTTCTACCGAGGGCTAAGGAATACTGGCTGTAGAGGAGAAGTGAAAATTCGCCCGAACTGAGAACATACACTGGGCGCTGGACATCAGGCGTAACTGCTGGTTCATTTCTCTTTAAATCTGGCAGCACGTGGGGCGGCATTGTGAAGCCACCAACCCGCCTCCCCCCTTACACTCCGCACACGTAGGACTCCAGCGCGCATGCTCCGCTCACACGGTCCTAGCAGAGTAGGAGCCAACCCCCTAAAAAGTCAACCTGGAAGCCGCAAACGGCCGGAGGCCGGGACAATGGGGGAGGGGGGACGTAGGCACCTCTCGGGAGGCAGACCCGGCCGCCGCCCCAAGCCAGAGGCCGCGGGCCGCAGCCTGGGGGTTCTGCAGGCCTGCGCAAGAGCTGGAATCGCTCCGAGCACAAAGCCCCGAGCTGGCCAGCGAGTGGTTCTCCCCTCTGCCCGCTCCTACCCTCCCCCAGCCGGGCGGCGCAGCCGGAGACCGTGCCAGGCAGAGGCAGGCGAGGCGGCGTCCCGCACCCCGCCAGGTTCTCAGACCCCCGCGCGCCAGCGACGAGGCCACGAAGGCAGGGGCTTTGTTGTCTGCCACAACTCCGCGGACCCGGAGCTACCCAGGCAGAAGTTTTGCGCGCCTCACCTATCCCGCTTAGGGCCAGTTTCTATGCCTACTCTCACCCCCCGCTACCCGCCCGCGCGTCTCAGACACCCGAGCCGGGGACTCGCAGCTGGTCAGGCCCAGGCGCTCCTTTCTGCCCCCAAGGGTCCTGTGGCCTCCGCCGCACCTGAGCCCGGGACCCGCCCCTCCTGGGAGGGTCGGTCCGGACTAGGGACCCACAGCCCCTCCCCCGCAACGTCCCACCCAGCAGTGGGGGAGGGGGCAGCCTCTCCTTTCCACAGAGAGCCAGGCCCAGTCTCAGCGTTGAGGCTGGGGCGCGTCCCCCGCCCCCAATACCCTCCGAAAGCCGGGGAAGTGCTGGGCCCGACCAGGACCGGCGCCTCGGGCTCCCCACCCTCCCAGGCCCGCACCCGACCTCGCCGTCGGCTGCCGCTCCCCCTCGGCCGTACGGCCGCTGGCCCGGGAGGAAGGAGGAGGTAAGCCGCGGTGGCTCACCGCGATCGCGGCCCGGCCCGGCCACCCGCTCGCTCACCTGCCAGCTGTCTTCGCAGTAGCAGTGCCGACTGCAGCTCCGTCATCCTCCCCGCCAAGGGCCCGGGCAGGCGCCGGGGCTTTCGAAGGGTCGAGGACAGGCTCTGGGGGCTTCTGGAGCTGGGTGTGCTGAGGAACCCGGGCCCCCACGACGGGAGCACCGAAGCCGAAGGAGGCCGGACTGAGGCGGCGGTAGCGGCGCCTCGCTGCCGGTGCGAGTCCGCTGGGTTCAGCTCTCTTCGCAGCGCCTCACATCCGGAAGGGGAGGGTACCCGGGCCGCCGCGGCGCGCACTGGGACTTCGCTCGGCCGCTTCCCTCCTTCAACCCGCCCGTCCGCCCCACCGGTGCCTTCCCCCGCCACAGCCTCACAGCGCGCAAGGCCGCTCCGCGCAGGCGCGCTGTGGCTGCCTACTAAGGGATCAACCCGCCCGCCAGCCCTACCCCTCTGCCTCCCTGCCCCGCCTCCGTCGGCGGAATCCCGCCCCCTACGCGCAGTTGCCCTGATCGCCGCCATCTTGGGAAGGTCGACGCCCCGCTGACTGCTTGGGCCTCAGGCGGTAGACGCCCCGCAGACGCCATAACAAAGAGGTCGCGGAGGGTCAAGACATTGCCTCCGTGATGAAGCAGGTGGCCCAGAAGCGAAGGGGCCAAAAGAAGTGGTAGATGCCTAGCTGTTGGCGAGCACCCAACAGCCATCTAACGCTCTACACATGGTGTGCGAATTAGTCATTGTTAAAGCCGAATTTAGTACTGGTGTGCCCCATTTTAAGCAAGCACCCAAAATAGACTTAACATGCTGATAATTCACGTTACAGAAAGAATACACAAAAAGATTCTTGAAATAAGCAAAATGTTCTGCATCTCATAGTACAAAATGTTTAAACATCGTTAATAATAATCTCTGAGTAAGGGGAGTCGAGATTAGCAAAATCATAAACGCAATTCAAAATGTCATTCAGAAAGGCATCTAGTATGTAAAATCAAAGTGTGGGATCTAGGGTTTGGAAAAAGTAACTCAGCTCTACCTCCACTGTTCCTCACTCCCGCAGCCTTCTGTTTTACGTAAAACAGTCTCAATAAAGAGATGGAGCAGAAAGAAGAGGAATACCTCATGGCACTCAAATTTACCTGTTCTGTCAACAAATATTTATAAAACCTGTATTAACTTGTGCCTGAACTATAGAAACAGAAATACAGCTCTGTTCCTATCGTCAAAGGGCTTAAAGTGTCTGAGTTACAGGTAAGGTAAACAGCCAATAGAGGAGCAGTTTCCAATACAATTTTTTTATTATAAAAATTACTGAGAAAACTGCCCTCATTCTCTCCCTAGAACAAGAATTAAAAGAAACAAATAAACATTGTGAGTGAATCCAAACTCTTTTGGGAACCAAAACTCCCAGGGGCTAACCCAGGTTCTGTGAGGCCTAAAGTTTACAGAATTTGAAAGACTTTTTAAGGAAAAGAATTTTAAAAATAAGGTTTGAAAATGAAATGACTGTTTATTTAGAATGAGAAAATAAATCTCAAATAACTGTAGGCTTGGGCAATCTGTCCCTTTCTCTGAGATCTCTTTAGGTGATTTATCCAAAGTGCTGCTTATTGCAACATGGCTTTGGTGATTTATCCGAAGTGCTGCTTATTGCAACATGGCTAACTCTCTGGCTTAGAACAAATTCAAGCCTTCACAAGAGCTCTGAACTTTCCCTAGCTTTACCATAAAAAAAAAAAAAAAATCTTTTCCAACAACACCCGTCCTTTCTGGACCAAAACTCTGTTTTTTAAAATAACTTTTAATTTTATCAAAATAGTAAATACATACTTCATAATCAGTGTATTAAGACTCATAGCCAAATCCTGCTTGCCAGAGGTGATCACTTTCAACAGTTTCTTCTGGTAATTACTTCCATTTATTCTAAATGATATGCTTTTTCATTATTTATCCATTTTAGACCTTATATATTTATTCTTGCCATAATTGATAAGAATTTAACTGTCTTATGATGCCTCTCGTCCTTTATTCTCCTAGTATAATTAAATCATATTTAGTTTTATCAATAAGTAGTTTTTACACTATTAACACTGTTGTGAATTTATAAATGTTAAATAGGAGAGCCAAATATTATAATGGGTTATAATTATATTTATTCCTTACACAGATGGGGGAGCTAGGGTTTCTAATTATAGTTTATTTCTTGCTGTATTTTGATTATAATCAATATCCTTTTCTCTATCCCACCCGATTGCTATTGTATTCTATCAAGTTCTTTTTCTTGGAAGTCTCACTCCTGGAAGCCTCTATATTATGTCTCTAATCTGGGCTGGTTGCTTTGGGCCATGCCTTCTACATAGAAGTCCTCTTAGAATTTCCCATGGCCATTCTCCTGGGTTGAGTCTACTGTACCCTGGATCTCAAGTGTAATTCATTTTTGTTTACTCCCTTCTTTTGCTGGAGCATATTATCAGATAACTCTGATGAGACTATATGAGGCAAATTTTCTAAGTTTTTATATGTAAAAAAAAATACCAAAATTTTAAAGATCTATAATTTAATGTCAGTTTAGCTGGGTATAGAATTTTATGTTTAAAATCAAATAATTCTTCTTTAAAAATATGAAACCATTGGTCCATTATCTTCTAGCATCCTGCGTTGCTGTTGATTGTTCTGTTGTAAGTGACCTTTTTTTATTTTTTCTTCTTGGATAGTCTTAGAATTTTCTTGTTATGTCTGGTATTTTAAAGAATCATAATAACATGCCTTTGTAGGTCTATAGGATGTTTTCTATTTTTAATTAGCTGTGCTCACAGCTAGTTTTCTGGTGATACAACAATTGTTTTCATTTACATATAAATAAGCTTAGAATAATGAGATAGTCTATTTTCCTAGTATATAAAAAAATATTTTAAAAACAGTTTATTTTTGTATGTTAATCCAACAACCTTACTAAACTCTAATTTAATCATTTTTCTATAGATTATTTTGATTTTCTACATAAATAATATATGTCTAAATTTCTATTCTTTCTATTTCTTTTTTTGTAAACATTGTTTATCTTTTTTACCATGCTATGCTAGCTAGAATCTCCAGCAGAGTTTCATAGTAGATGTGGTAGTGGGCACCCTTGTCTTGTTCTTTCTTAAAGGGACTGTTTTGATGTTTCGCTGTTAAGTCTCATACTATAGATTTTTTTTTTGTAGATCTGTTTAATGGGTTAGGGAAGTTCCCTTCTATTCCTTGTTTATTAAGATTTATTTTTTATAATAATTCTCAAATCTTTATGTCCAGCCCATATTTTTCACCTAAGTTAATATCTGAATACCCAACTGTCTAACTCTGTATTCATTTATTTAACAAATGTTTATTGAGCACCTACTATGGGCTAGAGGCAACTCTAAGACCTAAAGTCTGGGCTAGACAGACCAAGTCCCTGTCCTCATGTCACTGGCATCCAGTGGGAAAGGACAGAGTAAAAAAGTAAACATAATAAACAAGTCAGCATTGGATTATGGTAAGTGATATAAAGAAATAAATAGAGCAAGTAAATAACTGCAGGAAAAGGTCTATTGTAGATAAAGGTAGTCAGGGAAGGCCTCTCTCAAGAGATCATATTTGGGATAAGATCTGAATTATAAACAGGAGATGCCACTTGAGGATTCTGGGAAGAGCATTCCAGGCAGAGGAAATGGCTACCTTTAAGACGCTGAGATAAGGAAGAGCTTGGCTTGTCCAAAAACTAGAAAGGAGGTCAGCATGGTGGGGTGGCTCCACTGGAGCCTAATTAAGAGGGGCCCAAGAGGAAGTTAGAGAGGCAGTCAGGAGTCATCTGCAAGGAATTTTAACTTTAGTTTAGTTACAATTTAAGCCTTGAGAGGAGTATGATCTGATTTATGTTGTTTAAAACTCTCTTTAGTGCTTATAGAAAAGAGAAGAGTTCGCTGGAAGACCAGTCAGAAGGCTATTGCAGAAGATGAATCAAAAGATGGTGGTGGCTTAAACCAGAATGGGGGCAGGGATGATAAAGCAGGTGTGGGGAGGAACATGGATTTGAGAAAAATTTTAGAAATAAAATAGAAAGGGCTTGCTGACAGATTGAATGAAGGTGAGAAGGAAAGATGAATCCTAGGTTTATGACTCCTGAAATAATTGGCTTAATTTCAAAAAGGGAGAAGGAACCAACAGGTTTGGAGGAAGGGCAGTATAAGAGATCAATTTTGTCTGAGTTCTATTTTAGCTGTTTATTAGACATCTAAACAGAGATGTCAAATTAGCATATGCATACCTAAGACTGGAGATCAGAAAAGAGGCCAAAGCTATAGATACAAATTTGGAGATATCAGCATTACATTACCTAGGGAGAAAATGTATTGAACTTTTTTTTAAACCTAAAAATGAGTCCAGAAGCACCAAGGCATTTGCAGGTCAGGTAAAGGAGGAAGAGCCGGCAATGAAGGCTGCGAAAAAATGGACAAAGAGGAGAAAACCAGTGTGTAGTGTTACAAAAGCAAAGACAGGAGAAAATTTTCCCAAGAGAAAGGAATGGTCAACTGCCACATGTTGCTAAGAAGTAGAGAAAGACGAGGGCTAAGAAGTGTGCACGGAATTTAAAACTGGGAGGTTGTCGTTGACCTTGACAGAAAGATTTTAATGGAACAGCGCTGACAGCAGGCAGAGCAGAGTGGGCTCAATATAAGGTTAGGAAATAGAGATTTCTGTGTTTAGCGCTTACATGAGATTTGAGGTCATGAACTGAAAGTGGAATCAGTAGGTCTAGTTCAGTAATTTTTTTCTTCTTTTAATATTCAGCTGCTCAGGTGCAGGCATGGAGAAGGCTGATAGTGGGTACATTTAGAGTTGGGGGTTAGCCAGTCAAGTAAATGGAGAGAGAGATGGAGACACACAGGCAAGTTTGTTGAAAGTGTATGAAGAGCGTAACTGTAGTAATAGACTCTTCTCTAAGCTGAGTAGAGAAGGAAGAGAAAACAGGAAGGAGCTGTTTATGGATGAATAGTGAAAAGTGATACAAATAATGGAGTCTTGATGCGATTGAAGTATTGCATGGTGTAGTTGCTAAAGCAAATGAGCTAGAAGGATAGGAAATGGTGGTTAGGGTGGGAGGCTTGAAATCTAGAATTCGGTTATGGTATAGTCATGTGTGGTCATGTGGTCTCATGTGAACATGAGAGAGTCTGGCTGGTGTAGAGGGGAGACAATCAAGGAGGTGACAGGCAGGAGAACTAGATAGGTCATCCACGTGAGAATTAAGTCCTCAAGGACAAGCACTCAAGTAGGATGAAGAAAAACCAAGTAGGATGAAGTGAATCAAGAGTCAAAGTCATTGGTGAATAGGTCCACAGATAATAGCAGTAAAAGGAATAATGGTACAGCTTGATGGCGTTAACCTCAAAAGAGCTAGATTAGGGGAAGAAAGAGGAGGAGAAAAGGTTGAAAAGCAACAGTGGAAAACAAGGAGAAGATGCTATGCCTGCCAGCCCTGAGATCCATGAGGTGGGAGAGAAGACAGCATTCCCTGG